ATTGCCCTTGGGATGGCAATTTACTTACTGAAGCAAGATAGTGCATGAGACACCACAAGACCAGCAAGAATACTGGATTATTTATCACTGTTTTCTAGCAAATGAGAGCCCTGCAAGGAACATGGGCACAAAGAGACAAATCTAAAACTTGGAGCATTTAGAGCAGAAATAAAGAGAAAGAAATGAACAAACTAGGCATACCTTAAGACTACCTTATCTCAGCTTAAAATCTAAGCTGCCTACTTTTGTGCGGCACATTAGATTCTGATGAGTCAAAATAAATAAGCAAGCAGGCTCAAGCACTCTTTAATGACTATTTTTGCTGGTTATTTTAATCTTTCCTAAAACATACTTCTCCAGAAAATGCTTATATATCCCAAGTCAGTTCACCAGAATCTGTTATTTTTCAGGCAATAAATTATCTATTGCCTCATATAATAACAGATTCTGGTGTTTTAGGCAATAAATTATCTATTGCCTCATATCAAATTTGTGGGCTCATATCAAGAAACTGCAAACTTTTTATAGGCCCTCATCTTAACAAGTAATTCATAACAGCAGTGAAAAGGAAACTTGTTACATCATGCATAAACCAGGAAAAAAATTATTTGGGATAGAAGCCACATCTGATTTTTGTTGTCTGAAGGGTTTAGTGCACTTTTTGTTGCCCTGAACAGTTAAGGAATTCTACACCAGAAAACTGCATGTAGCTGCAAGCTAACCGGGGGAGCTGCTGGAGTCCTTCATCAAGGATAAATATTCCTCTGATGAGATGGATTGTCTTTTCAAATACACATACTCTGTGGGAAGAGACCAAAAATCTGGATTGCCAGCTAAGTTAACTGCTTACTGTCTGCTGTCTCCAAGGAACAGATACAAATTCTAGCTATGGGCACAAAATTGGAATTTTACATGTTACTGCTGAGTTAGTCATAGCCAGAGAAAGAGCAGCACAACAGAAGAGCAAAACTGGTACTGAAGGCACAGCATAGACACTGCTCCCCCCCGCCCCCTTTTTTAAATACACCTAGATAGATGGATGGCTACCACTGAGCATGGAAAATTAGAGGACAATTTATTATCCCACTGCTATTACGGATTTATTGATGGAGTTTTTCTTAGAGACATTCAATTCCTTTGTGCCTTGGCTGACAATTTTTGAAACTTGTGGAATATTTAAGTGTTTCTCAATTAATTAGAGTTGTTCTGAAAAATAATTACACACAGGTGAAAAGATCACCACTCAGCTAGTTGATGTTTTTCTGGAAGAGTATCTTCCCAAACCGTACATAAATCTATGCAAAAACTACGCTTTTTGGTTGTATTTTACCTGGCACACGTTTTATATTTTCCCATACTGAGGAAATGTTTGGAAGTATGGCATATATTCCTGGGGGCTGTATCTGTATACTTTGTGACTTTTTCCAGTCACTAAGTTTTATTTGAGAAGTAAATAAAATAGCATTTTTAGATATTGTTGTTGCAAAAATTTAGAATCCTTTACAAAATGGTAGTTGATTGTTTTTCAAATCAAATGAAAATGCTTTTCTATCAATATTACTCTTTCTACCTAATGCTCATCTTGTTTTTCAACATCTATTTGGGATTTCTTACTATGGTCCTGAAGCTTGAAATTTCAATTGGTCCCAGCTCTGACACACTGGGTATAGAGACCAGGCAGTACCAAGTCAGAGCATGGGTAATCACACAGCGCCAGGGTCCCTGCAGAGCAGCAGGGATGCAAGAGACACGGATTCTTTATTCTTTTTCCCCCAAGCAGCAGATGGGCATCACAAGGAGGGCTGGCGTTTCTTAGTTCATCACCAAACGTATTTATTTTTCTCTGCATTAGAGACAAACTGACAGAGATCACCAGCATATCAATGCAAAATGGCTGACCCAATTAAATACCAGAATTATTGTAAAAGAATTGGGCTTTTCCTAATACATAACACTGTTGGCATTGAATTATTGACATAATGCAGAAAATTGCCTCAGGAAAATCTCCCCTGGCTTACTCAAAAAGTATTCTTATAAACAACCTAAACAAAACAAATGTGAAGGACAAGCACGAAGGACATGAAAAGAAAATCCAAACTGCCTGCACTTACGCATCGGACTTTGGAACATTTAAGTCAGTTTTACTGATGAAATAAAGCTCTCTTGAAACGTAAAATTTGAAAAGAGCTAAACCACCTCCATTTTCCAGGGAAATATGAAACTTAATCTTGAGTATTGATGCACTCATATAGTATGTGACAGTATTAAAACAAAATAAATTTTGCATAATTAACCAAATGGAAATACACGTTTTTAAATTTCTATAGCCCATCAAAAACCTCACATATGATTTCCATTTAGCAGTTGCTGTTTATGTCAGACTTCTTTTCTGATACAAATGGAATTTGCTGAAATAAGTTTAAGGTTCGGGAGCAAAAACAGTTCTTGATTGAGCATCATTTCAAATACAAGCTCTGGACTACTTCTGCACTATTCAGACCTGAAGTATAGCACAGCTAAGACCATATAAATTTTAACCTGAAGAGTAAGAGCATAATACCAGGTTCTTTTGCTCCCCTACCAAGATAATGGCATGAGTAGCTGTTAAGTAAAAATATTAAACAAAAAATAAACATATAAATTAAATTTTACCAACTTCTAATAAATAGAGAAGAAATAGAGGTATCATTGAAGAGCTAAGTCCTGTTATCGCAAAACGCAATCTTTCTGGGACAGCTTCAATTAGAAGGTTTTAATTAGAAAAAGGCTAAAGAACATTCTACCTTTGTGTTCAACCAAGAAAACAAATATAAAATATCTGATCAAACCAGACACTATACAAATTAAAACAAAACTACATATGGAGTCCAAACAAGACTTCCCTCACCCCAATACTAAAAGTGTAAACAAAAGCTTCTGCTATTGCTTTGGGGGCATTGGTTTTGTAAGCATATCTTTCCTAATTTCATTCCACTGGAGGAAACTAATCACATACATACTGATTATATAAAATTGCAGCGTCTCAAATTAGACGCTAGTGTAGCCAAAAGTCTGCCATGACTAACAAGGATATTCTGCATATATTCTGACCCAAATGCATGAAGAATGAAACACACACATTAATTTCACTGACTCCTCACAACCTTCATTAGATAAGGTGCTTCCTCGAGAAAGGCTGAATTAATGCTAAGACACAAAAAAGGCAGACTTTGACATGTCTGGATTAGTAAGTATTCCAGTCATGGATGTGGAATAAACCAACACTTAATCATCAACACCACACCTATCACTTAGCAACACGCACACTACAAAGAATCTCAAGTGTGCTGACCACAGCTAAATGCATTATAAATAAAGCAGAAATTAAGCCATTCTGTTCTCAAATATCTTTACATTACTCAAAATTGCATTACACATAGGTTCAACCTAACCTGGTCTACCAGAGGAATGGAGGAGTTAATTACATATGCAAACTTCCTGTTCTACATCATTTGAAAGATCTTTTGATGCTGCAAAGAATGACATATTCCTTCATAAGATTTAGAGGAACTGAGACATATGGAACACTGGCAAAAGGTATTGGAAAATTTCAAGGGAATAATTTTAAAATTCCTTCAATATTGTAAAAGCCAGATTTGTAACTCTGCCAGCTTTGCTAATTACATAGCAAGGGAAAAGACTGAGACTTCACAATTAAGATATGCTAAAGCTGCTAGGAACTGGCATATGGACAGTACTGTGAGAAGACATACAAAAACCCTCAGGCTCAAAATATCAGTATTGACTTTGCAGAGATGGCATTGGTGTTTGTGTCCCCTCTTCAAATCCCACAAGATCAAGAGCCTGGCAAAACCTCCAGTCCATTCACTGATCACAGCTTAACTCAGAAAATAGTGCCTTGGCTAATTATATTCCTATTGTTATAAAGTTAGAATCTTAACTATTAAGCAGAAAAGAGTTCTTAATTAAAAAACAAAGTTGTTTGTGAAGAGTTTAGTCCTAATATACTAACTTCCTACTGCTAATTATAAAGAAAAATGACTTTGCAGTGGAAATGAATAGGCCTAATACTTCTTGGCAATACTGTACGGACAAAATTATTAATTACTAATTAGCAGCTTTTATTTCACACTTGTAAAGGCTCTCTGACTTACCAGTCTATATTGACCGATCAAATATCAGATATTATCTCTACAAACATTCTACCAAGTAAGTTTTAGTCATCTTACACTTTAGTATAAGTTAATGTTAAAAATAAAGCTGTATTATCTTCACAAATCTCCATTTAACAGCAGTTACGGGTCATTAACCATAAAAAGTAACAGACAACTTCAAAATGCAGCTGAAAGCAGATTTAAATAATAAATATTCTACGATATGACTGCAATGTCTAGAGTAAGCTAATGGATCACAGAAAATGTATAGAAGAGCTTTATTGGGCATCAAGCTCCCTAGGCTTTCAGTGAATGAAAAACGTCCCCAGTTTAAGAGCTCATAAGGGAATCTTCATCTATTGAACTGATATTTTAATTAGTAGTAGCATAAAGCAAAGATTTGGTATAAAAAGTCTCCAAAAAACATAGTTTTATTTTACACAAATTTAACCTTTGGAATAAATTTTAACTGGTGGCTACCAAACGTTACTAGGTTGCTGTATGTCATGATTTAGTCTTCAATGCAAGATCTCTAGAAAGAGGGAGAAAACTATTTTCAGATTTTTTTTTAACCAAAGAAAAATTCACCTGCAATCACTACTGTAAAATTGGAATCAAATTGATCATGTTATTGTTAAATTGAAAACATAACATTTGAAACAGTACTCGTACAAAGGAAATATACTTGCATTGACTCCTCTGAAGAAATGGAAAAAACAATAAGCCTCCCAACTAATGAACTCGATCTAACTCTTGATAAAATACTTGAAAATACTGATGCACGTTCAAAAGAAGCAAACATGCACCAGAAGAAACATATTGAACATGGAAGCTTTCAACACTCACCATCTGAATGGGTTTTTTGTGAAGATCTCGTTCGGTCACCAACTTTTCTTGGTCAGTGACATAAAGGCCTTTTTGTGCCAGAGCTTGTATAACAGCATCATGACCTAGAAGTGGCTTTGCAGCATCGCTCTTGAGAATAAGGCTCCCAGCACGGCAGTAGAGCTCTGCCGACAGCAGCAAGTTAACAACAGGTGGCTTAATGTGCTCCTGGTCATACTGGTCAGTGTAAAATGGTTCTCGCAACTCTTCTGGAATGTTTTCTGCAGAGATCAAAAGATATAAAGCATTAGCCACTATCAGAAAAGACAGTTACATTATTCGCTTTTTATAGGTACAGTTTCAAACTTAAGTTAAAATAGCTTCAAGGGAAAGCCAAAGTCTGTACTCAGCCATGATGCTGCCAAAGCACTAGGAAAATTACACACAGAGTTCAATAAAATTAAACTATAAATAGAAACTGAGGAAAAATTCAGAAAGAGTTCCACACTTCAAGAGACACACAAGAAGGCCAACCTGTGGCTTTACAGTATCATTAATTTAAAATTTGACTCATCCAAATATACGCCCAAGCAGTCTCATTTTCTTTAGTATTTTATAGGTCAGACATATGTCCACTTAAACAAATCCCTGCCCTTATACCCTAATAAAATGGAAATGGAACAACATACTTCAAACAGATTAACTGCAGGGATGAAAAGGAAAACTATCACGCATCACCCTCCTAAATTTCAAATCAGGAAAGGAAGTTTGCTTACTGTACTGTACTACCTATGGCAAGGATCACACATCGCAGAATCAGTGCGTTTACCTGGGTGTCTTAATAGAATTAAAGGAATACAGAAAAATATACATATACACGCACATAAAATCCTGAAGTGTTATTTGCTTATTTGTGTTACTGATTTTAAGTGGTTCAGCTTTTTTTCCTTTCTAAATTGACAGGTCTGTCACCAATAAAAAGCTATGCAGGATTATGTCAAGATATGCTGAGTTTCCACCCTTAAATTGGAACTACTAGATGATCCACGACAACTTTTTTATATACTTATAGCACAGGACAGAGACACAATATACTTATTGTCTACCATAGCTACAACAGTTACATTTTATCTGATATTACAGCAAATGAAATCAAAACACCAGAGAAGCTGCAAGCAACTTGGACATGGTTTCAGAATTTACACTTCTAAATGAGAATTAAGCATTGCAAGATGCTGCATTTTCCCTGCAACAATTTCAGTCTCCATTATTAAAAAGCTAACTAAGCCAGTAGCATTTATGGCAGGAGGAGCTCCATTCTTTCCCTGCACCCAAACGGAAAAGCCTATTTAACTCCTAGAAGGAAGGAGGGGCAGGGGAAAATACAGGAAAACAGGGAAGCAACTGTGGGTCCTGATGCAGCTCCTATCCCTTCCCCTTCAGCTGGCAAAACGTGTAAGAGCAGACAGGTTTTGAAGGGAAGGGTGGAGTGAACAGTCCAATATGGGTGGAGGCAGGAAAGAGAAAACCAGACACGGCCACCACAAGATAAAGACAGATGATCTCCTTCCTCACCCATATTGTACAGCAGCCCAGGCGCTGCCATTGAAGAGCTGCAGAAGAAGAGCTGGCCCTCGCCCAGCCACTGAGGGACAAGATGTGTTAGAGAAGGCAAGGAGGAAAAAAAAAAATTAACACACTTTCTTATGCATTCCCCTTCTCATAAATAATTAAGGATACGATACGACTTTTTACTTGCCAAATCAGAGTATCGAGGCAGGAAGGCAGAGGTATAATTTCTAACTTGGTCAAAACAGAGCTAAAGATTGGCCAGAACGCAGACATTTCTGCTTAGACTACAGATCAAAACATAGTCAAAGCTAATATAGTTGGGCCTTTGAAATAAAAGTCTAATGCCAAACAACATTACTTCTTCTCGAGATAATAAAACTATTTTGAAAGTACTACCAATGACAGCCAGAGATACTCTTGGGGCAGGAAGAATGTTCTCAGCTTGGAGATAATAAACTAGGAAGAGGAATTCAAAGCGATTACAACAGTTTTGAACAGCTCATTTTGAAACTTTCATTTAAATACTTTTGGAATAACTACTTTATACAATGCAGTCTTCTCTTACCACTTCCCAGCTACTTCACTTACTGATTCCACACATCTCACTACCTTTCAGCACCATAAAAAGCAGTTTTAATTAATTCCATGCATTATTTCCAATCTATTGTCAGTCTCAGTTCTACACACTCTTGCTTCTTTTCCCTGTTTATATACACATCATCTATTACAATGTTACACTCATTTCTAAGGTCCCTCATAATCCAACACCACTTCACTATCTTATTTGAACAGACAGTTTTCAAACTATCCTCATGCTACGGGGCATTATTGCTAAAAAATCTGCTTGACCCTGGAGAAGACAAAGCAAACAAAAGCGCACATCTTTTTTAATCACATGCTAAGTTAAATGGGGCAGGAGGAGAGAAGGAAATAGGACAATGAGATAAAGCCTTTCCTATTTCTTATAAATGCTAAAAAATAATGCAATTGATTGCCTTAAGGCAGGAGAAGACAGCTACATACAGACAGAAATCACGGATGTGCAAAGTTGAAAAACTCCTGTTAAGGGTCACTTTGACCTTGATTGATCTTGTTGATACCTCTTATCTTTTCACTTAATGATAAACTTTTGCTTATCCTTACACTTGTTTTAATGGGAAGGAATCATATTTTAAGAGTTTTATAAGCAAAACTCTCTGCTCGTGTAGATGTGAACTACTCCTTAGAGCACAGCATGAACACTGCTTTGAAACAAGTTATTTGTATTGGTATGGAAAGTGTAAGTTGTTTCTGAAAAAACAAACCTTTTTGTCAAGTTTCCAGACTTCCACACAGATGAATACAACCCTTTGAGACTTGTAATTGCTGAGTTTTTCAAAATTATAAGAGTCAACAATTCCAGATTTATGAACTTTTGCACTAAGGAAGCGTAAAAATTCAGAAGTCTTGATCAACAAGGTCTCCCTTTATTCCTAAGGATAATATAAACAAAGCTGAAGTGTTTGGCTATACATTTACTTTCTAATTAAAATACATATCATTCTTCTGAACCACAAGGTCATGTAAAGCCTCAGCCTAGAGAATTTCCATCTTTTCAGGATACTGACTTCAATCACAAGGAGATTAACAACATAATATTTGTAGAGGTTTAATACCAACTATTTTGCAATAACTAATACTTTCAGCCACTTTGTAGTTCAACCTAAAAAATGAATTTATGGCAATCCTCAACAGACTCAATTACTTGACAATTTTATGCTAGATAGCAGAGATTTGACACAATTTTGCAGCAGAAGTAATTAGGTGCATTCACGCCCCCCTTTGCCAACAAGTGCTCTGGGACCCCACTCCCCTTCTGGGTGCAAGAGGGTAGAACTTCCAAGGAAGTCAGAATCTGAGGACTGGGAATGGGCCAGGAAAGCATGATTTAGATTCCATCCTTTTGATGGATTTTCATAATTGTCTCAATAAAAGAAGACATTTCAATTGGACATTCTATTCTGGAGAGGCCTTCAGGGCCTTCCATAAGCACGACATTTCTGAGATTCACAGCGGATTAGAAATTCATGGGAAAACAGATGCTATTAAACAAACACACACAAATTCTAAGGAGGAGTTGGAGAACAGAACGAGGCACTTGACGTTCAAAGTGTTTGTTGAATCAGTCTGCTACTTACTTCTAAATAGAAGTAGTCTGCCACTACTTCTTACCCTAACAGCGGGTAGGGGCAAGTATCTAAACCGTCACCTTTGGAAATATCTGGCAGACAATTTCAGTATTAATTCTTAATTTTGTCTGCCTAGTTGATCTCAAGAACTCAAAAAGATTACTGCACCTCAAACAAATTAACTATCTCCTCCTGCCTCTAGATACCGCAAACATAGGCCACTGGTGATGCTTGGACTTGGGAGAGCAATTCTGTACTTTCAGTAGGTAGTTCATATAACATTAAAAGGAAGATTTGAGGACGAGCAATGAAAGACTCCAGATAGAAGCTTTGTTGTCTCCAAGGTGCAACAACTAAATAACTTCCATTAGCCACTGCCTGCAAACATTCTCATTTTCCTTCTTTTATATCTTGAAAAAATGACTCATTGAGATGTAAAAGCCGCAAAGCATCGTGCAAGCTATTCCTGGCCCTACTTTCTCCTGCTCTACTATTCAAAGTTATTCTCTTCAAAAAAAAATTGTTTAAAGAAACAACATTGAACAAGCCCAATTTG